TGTATGTGTGTACGTGTATATGTATCATAAGGTCTGAATCATTCGTATTATTTTAATCGTACACGATTTATAAGGGCTTGTACGCAACATACTCCCCTCGTTGAGAGAGTATCGATCAACATTTTGTGTATATTCAGTCGTGTGGTAACGCATGTTATCGCTGACGGAATCGCATACAGATTTCTTTAAGGATGTAACAATTATTACATATCGTTTCGTATTAATGTCCAAATAAGGGCGGAATATAAGCATCGATTAATTAGGTGTAATGTTATTCGGGAGAGGACATAGGCACTTCGTATTTCGCTTTATTTCTCCCACTGCGGTTTTGATGGTGGCAACTCGAGCTACACCGTCTTTGCCTGAGTGTAGTTCGCTGATTCTGCCGAGCGCCCATCGTGTGCATGGAAGATTTTTGTCCTTGATTAATACAATTGTTCCGATGTCGATTTTGGGACCATCTTTGATCCATTTGCTCCTTCTTTGCAGTTCATTCAAGTATTCGAGATACCAGCGAGACCAAAAGTCCTGTCGCACCTTCGTGATGTGCTGCCAGGTGGACAATTTATTTGCTGGAACAAATGATACATCGCCCTCCGGAAAGGTCGTTATAGGCTTGCCAATTAAATAATGAGCGGGACTTAAAACTAACATGTCGTTCGGATCTGAGGAAAGAGAGGTAATAGGACGAGAATTAAGGATACCTTCAATTTCGATAGTGAACGTATTTAGTTCTTCGAATGTGAACAGAGAATCGCCTACTACTCGTTTGTAATGATGTTTGAATGATTTCACAGTGGATTCCCACAGGCCTCCAAAGTGCGGTGCTATTGGAGGTATAAAATGCCACAATATACGATGTTCGGCGGCATATTTGTTCACTTGTTTCTTGTGTTTGTCAGAGTTGAATAGGACGTACATTTCTTTCAGCTGATTATTCGCGCCTACAAAGGTGGTCCCGTTATCGGAAAAGACGTGTTCCGGCAGACCACGTCGCGCGACAAAGCGTCGTAGTGCTGCTAAAAAACCGTCGGAAGTTAAGTCACTAACGACCTCAAGATGGACCGACTTTATGGTCATACACACGAAAATGCATACGTAAACCTTCATTCGAGTTCGATTTCGATATTTCTTTTCCTTGATGTGGAATGGTCCACAGAAATCTATTCCGGTGTGAGCAAACGGGAATGCTTCTCCTACGCGAGCTGATAGTAAATTCCCCATCTTGTAATCGAATGCACTAGCATTGAAACGGTGACAGCGCGTACAAGAACGTATAATTTTCCTCACTTGATTTCGACCATCAAGTAACCAAAATCTCTGACGAAGTATATATAACGTGGATTGAATGCCCGCGTGGTAATGTTTTTCGTGAACTTCGCGAATAATTTGGTCTGTCAGGCAATTCCGACTTGGAAGCAGAATAGGATGTTTTTGTGAAAATGGTAATCCTGATCTTTGGAGGCGTCCTCCAACACGAATCAACTTGTGTTCGTCCAGAAAAGGACTTAACTCTGCTATCTTCCCCTTATGTATTGGACGCGTGGAAGTCAGGTTTTTTATTTCGTTCGAAAATTGAGTAGATTGAAGAATTCTTAATATTCGTATCTCGGATTCGTTTATTTCTGTCGCATCTAATGGTCCAGTATTTTTATTTGAAAGTCGAAACCGAAGACAATATGCGACAACCCTGCACAACTTTGAATAAGAAGAATATCTTTTAAGTATTTCGCTGTCAAGGTGAATCGTAAGACAAGCATTTCTCCTTAATTCGGTTAATTCGGTTAATTGCATGTTTTCGATAGGCCACTCGCTCTCATTTCTGACTAACCAACGCGGTCCCGAGTGCCAAGTATCGTTTCGTAAGAAAGTGTGGGGTAATTGACCTCTCGAAATGGCGTCGGCTGGATTATCTCCTGATTTGACGTGTCGCCACTCATATGAACCAGTCAGGTCTTGTATTTCTACGACTCGATTAGCGACATAAGTTTTGAGTAAATGAGGCGAGGTCTTTAACCATTGAAGAACAATAGTGGAATCGCTCCAAAAAACGACTTTGTTAGGTGTGATCTTTAAAGAATTACTCGTTTCGCGATATAATCGTGCCAGAATCAACGCGCCGCAAAGCTCAAGTCGAGGTATAGTGACGGGTTTTAATGGTGCGATTCGTGATTTAGCACATGCTAATTTGCAAATAATGTTCCGATGTTTACCAACCGATCGTATATATATGCACGCTCCATATCCGACTTCACTGGCGTCGCAAAATCCATGTAATTGGATATCGCGAAATTCTGGTGCTATTAAGCCGCGATCGAAAGAGATCTGATGTATCGAATCCAATTGTTGAACAAATTCAGACCATTCTGTATGTAGACTTTGCGGAACAGATTCGTCCCAATGTGTTCCGCATCGCCACACATTGCATCAATCGTTTAGCATGTAAAATCACCGGTCCTAATAATCCCAATGGATCGAACAGCTTTGCGATTTCTGATAAAATCTTCCGCTTAGTCACCATACCTGTTATTTTAATCGGTTGTGTCGTATAGCATATTTTATCGTCACGTGTGCTCCAAGAAATACCTAATGTCTTTAACGAATAATCTCCGTCTAGAACGAAATTGGCATGTAATGCGTTATCTGACAAATCATCGATCGCGCGCGAATCATTAGATGCCCACTGTCTAATAGCGAAACCACCTTTTTTCAATAAAGCGATTATATCATCTCTAATTTTCCGAATCTCCTTGAGAGTCTCGGCACCTGATAACAAATCATCGACATATAAATGATTTTTCAGAACTTCGGCTGCCCTAGGATAGATGTAACACTCGTCATCTGCGAGTTTTTGTATTGTTCTAATTGCTAGGAATGGCGAAGAGGAAACGCCGAATGTGAGCGTATTCAATTGAAATGTCTCTATTTTTCCTGCCTTACGCCAAAGAATTCTCTGAAATCTTCTATCGTCTTCGTGTACTAATACTTGCCGGTACATTTTCTCAATATCGGCAGTTATAACATACTTGTACTTACGGAAACGAATTAAATGTGCAAATAATGTGTCTTGTATCGTGGGCCCTGTCATTAAAAGATCGTTCAAAGATGTATTATTGCTCGATTTCGCAGACGCGTGGAAGACTACTCGAAGTTTAGTTGTAGAGCTCGACTCTTTAACTACTGCATGATGGGGCATGTAAAAACCGTCAACGTCTGTATTTTTTACTATCGACATGTGTCCTAAACTTATATATTCGTCCATTACGCGTGTGTATTCATTTTTAATAGATTCGTTTCCGTGAAATTTACGTTCCAATGCTGAAAAGCGTTTAAGCGCAACCGTTCGTGAATCACCGAGGCGATTTACTGATTCACGGAATGGTAAACGAACCGTAGCGTCCGGTTTTATCTCTAATAGTATTTTTCACGAAATGTGCTTCGCATTTAATTTCTTCTTCAGATTTTGGTTTTATAGTTGTTATCTCTTCGATCGTCCAAAATTTAGCTATTTGGCTTTCGAGGCTCGTTAGGCCGCACAAGAAAGATTTTGGTGAGTCGTTCAACGTCGTACTACCAGCGAGCACCCAACCTAATCGCGTTTTTTGCAGGAACAAATCTTGGTTTTCTTTAGATAAATTAATTTGACCGACAGACAATAGTGATAGCGTTGATCCGGAACCTATCAATAGGTTGACCGGACGGGGAATATGAAAGTCTGGATCCGCTAATTTGATGTTTGAAGGTATTTGGATTAACTCTCGCGGAAAAACATCAAATGGAATAAAATCTGTTATGGTTGTTATTGTTAGACATGTCAGGTTTCTCGCAAAGTCTCCGCGTATTGATCTTATCGTAATGTGTACAATACCCTTAGATTCGGAGCTCGTTGCATTGATTCCACTAATTGGCAATGAATGTGCGTCTGCTTGTATGCCTAAACGTGTTATGACCGACTCAGAAATAAAATTTGCAGTGGAGCCTGTGTCTAATAAAGCGCGACATTTGACGGGATTACGATCGCCGCTGTGAACATATACCATCGCACTCGTCAATAATTGCGGTGTGAATACGCGAGATGTTGTTGTCAGACCCGCCGTTCTTTCTTCGATCGATTCGTTCGGTCATCCGGATTTGGCTGTTTCGGATTGTGTCGCGTCGGATTTGTTTGGATGTGCAAATTTGTCGAGGTGCAAAAGCGTATTATGTCTCTTATGGCAGATCGTACAACTGGAGAATTTGCATGGACTGTCTCGATGAGAACGTAAGCAATTATAGCAAACTTTCGCGCTCCTCACCAATTCTATGCGTTTAGGTACTATTAGCTGTTTAAATCTAGTGCATAAGTACAACGGATGTTGTTTGATCTTACACGCGATACAATTCCGTGAAGTGTTTAAGAAAAAGGCTTGATTCAAAGAGGTTCTTTGTCGTTTCTTGGCACCGTATTCGTCTTTATGTCTATCTACATCGGCTGATTTCGACCTTTCGCGTTTCGAGGCGCATACCGCTGTTTTATATAAAAATTCGTATATCTGTTCAAGTTTCGGATATTCATCTCTTTCAAGAGTGGCCTCCCATTTTTCTAAAGTATTCTTTGGTAATTTAGTTTCTATGATGTGAACAATTATTTCTTCCCCGACAGAGACACCTAAAGCGTTAAGAGACGCGACATGTTGCTGGGTATCGTGGGCGAGTTTAGACAAGCCGTTTGTAGTTTTCTTTTCTAAAGTCGGGAGATTCATGATCAATGAAATGTGTCGCGAGATTAGAATTCGTTTCACTTCGTAAGCCTTTTCCAAAAGTTCCCACGCTTTCGCGAACTCTATACCGTCGGATGCAAAAATCTTTATTTTATTGGCAGCTGCGCCAGTTAATGCTGACTTTAGATATTGTAGCTTATCCAGATCCGATAAATCAGCGCGAGATATGATCATGTTGTCGAACGCGTTTTTAAACGAAAGCCAGCCTTCGTATTTCCCATCAAATGTTGGCAAAGGAGCTTCGGGTAACTTAATTCGTTGTTTTTGAATAGCTGGGGGTCCTGACGGTCTTTCTCGAATTTCATCACTTGACGCATTCGTACTCGCGGATGATAAATTGGTAGTATTTAAGATATTTTCTACCCGGCTTGCAAGAGAATAAAATTGATCTTGAATATGAGTAAATTCGTTTTGATGTTCATCGCTTGCATCTAATGTCGCGAGTTCGTCATTATGATCTTCGAAAGCGTAA